CTAAATTGTGATTATATTGCAAAAGCGATACATTTTACAGCCGTATTACATTAGTGACTGGCTGAAGGGAGGCGGGCTTGGAAGAAAACCCGACATTCCTGGGACTAGAATTAACCTCTGGGGTGTCAAAAAGATTTATTTGAATGGAAAAAATTGCTTAAACTGGTGAATAACTTAAAAAAGAATGTCTTTTTTTTAGTTAGTGATTAGTTATGTCTGTTTTAATCCCAGCGAGTCTGGATAAGCACCACCGTACGCACACCGGAGAGCGGCCCTTCAGCTGTGACGTCTGTGAGCAGCGCTTCACCGAGAAAGGCGCTCTGCTCCGCCACAAGGCCAGTAAGCACGAGGAGGGCCGACCGCACTGCTGTTACATCTGTAACAAAACGTTCAAAGGTACAACTGCACCTCCTGATCACCTGCTGCTATTGATTGGGTCATTTTTGTTGAAGAAAGTCTGAAAGGTTCCCTTTTCCTTCCTCCTTTCAGCAATGGAGCAACTGCGTGTCCATCTGCACCGCCACAAAGGCATGAGGAAGTTTGAGTGTACAAAGTGTGGCTACAAGTTCACCCGACAGGTCGGTTCAAACAGGGAACTTTAACATTTCAGCAGGAGAAGCTGCAGCTTTGGAAGAGAGAAAGAAATGCACGACTCCACAGAGAGCAGAATGTTTTAAGATATGAGAATGAAAGGAAGAAAAAAACTTTTTTTAAAAGAAAAAAATGAAAAACTTCTTAAAGTTTTTGAGAAGAACTTTCTCAGTTTATAGCTTTTTTCAACAGATTTCTAATCTTCGTTTTTTTTTTACCGAGTTCTGTTCTTCAGATTGAGTTTTCAAATTTCATTCTTTTCAAATTGTTTTACAAATCACATTTTCTTCACTTCAAATCCATTAAAAATGTTCCTGACGTCCAGCAGAGCAGTAAAAAAGTGTCTTTGCTCGTTTCTCCAGGCGAAAGGCCGCCCCCAAAAGTGACGACCGTGGTCTTTAAAAATCAAATTTAAAAAAGAATTACATTCACGAGATTCAATCCGAAAAAGATCAATTTGAAAAAGAACATTTCTAAATAGAAAATGGAAGAAAAAAAACCCTGAAAGTATAAAAAAGTTAATCTAAAAAAAAAAGAGAAAAATTTTTAAGGCCAATTTTTGCATTTTGTTTTTCAAATTATCATTTTCAAAACGTGTTTATTTTGTAGTCAAGGAATTAATTCTGCCCTAACAGCAACAGAGACGACTTTATTATATTTATACATTAGACATTTTAACTGTGGCTATTTTTATTTATGTTATCAGCATGAAATCAGTCAGTGCGAAAGATGGCTGCCTACATGTGGAGCCATCTTATAACCTATTTTATCTCCACAGTTGGAGGTTTCATTTCATTATTTATCGGGTATGGCTATATACACAAATAGAAGTATTTTTACTTCTATATTCCCTATTGCAGTAGTTCTGAAACCTGCTCCTCAGTTACCACTGCCCTGCAGGTTTAATGTGCTTCTCTGTTGCCGCATGATTTTATTAATTTAAATGTAAAATCAGAAAGTTTTTTTTTTCTGGGTGGATCATCAAAATAATTGGTCCTCTTAATTGTCAATCATTCTGGTGATATGTTTACATAAGGCCGTCCTACGTTCTCATCCCCGTTTTCAATTATCGATGGTGATAAAGGGATCTGGTTTATAAAGGGCTCTGGTTTATAAAGGGCTCTGGTTTATAAAGGGATCTGGTTTATAAAGGGCTCTGCTTTATAAAGGGCTCTGGTTTATAAAGGGATCTGGTTTATAAAGGGCTCTGCTTTATAAAGGGCTCTGGTTTATAACGAGCTTTGG